GAGAGAGAGAGAGAGAGAGAGAGAGAGAGAGAGAGAGAGAGAGAGATTCACTCAATACATACAAAATATATACCCAAAGGCATGTACCCAATGACCCATTTCTTCCAGCCACACCCTATCTACCTATAGTTACCATCCAGTTAATCTCTATAAAGGGATTGATGCATTGATTAGGTTAACTCTCATAACCCAATTATTTTACCTCTAACTTTGTTGCATTGTATCGCACACAAACTTTTGGGGGACATTTAATATCAAAACCATAATAATATATATGTGATCAGCTCTAATGACAAAACTCACCCTATTTAGACCTTGAAAATTTGGTCATATATTAGTTATCATATACTTTCATCAACTTGGATAAGTTACTTAAATTTTCTGAGCTTCAATTTTCTCATCTATAAAATAGGTTTCATAGGACTTTTAAGAGAATGCATTGTGTACATTTTGCACCCAGGTGATTAAGACAAATTTGAAAACGCATTTGATGATCATTACCAAGTAGAACAAATAAAATTCTTTTCTCATTTACATCAATTATATAAACTCAAAGTATCTACTTTTCCAGTTCTCTGTCTACTCTACACTCCCCCCAACAAATGCTGAACTTAAAGCTCATTAAAATCACACTGAACTGTTATGAGCCTGTACCTTTCTTTTTTTCCATTTCATTAAGATATTATTATCTTTTTTTTTAAATCAAGATTTTCTTTGTTTCACAATGGCACAAATTACACTTCATTCACATAAATATACTCATATTTTTCTTGAAACATGCAGCCTTTGGGTGTCTTCTCCCTACCATAGGCAGACTATTACATTCTTTTTCCTTCTTTCTCCCTAAAGGGAAACACAATCCTGAAGTTGGTATGTATTTGTCCCACCTGTTTTTATAATTTTTCTGAATTTGTATATACCTAGTATATACTTTTGTTTGGTTTTAAATTTATATAAATAACATATCCTTTTGTTATGGGGCAGAGCGCTCAGAAAACCTACCAAGTCGATTTGTCCCAATTGGAGAGTCTTTATTTAGCCATCCGGTTGGAGACTGCTCCCCACAGGACCCACAACTGTCTCTGCAGGGAACAGCCTTGAGCCTGAGCATTTCAGGGTCTTTAAAGACAAAAACTGCAAAAACCACATAACAGGTTGATGTAGCTGCAAGCAGGCAGGGGTACAGAAGCTGAGTTGGGCAGTTAGTGAAAAAATGCAAAGGGCACATTGGTATT